GAGGGACTGTCTTTTTTCTATTTCGATATAAGCTGGAGACACATTCGCTCGCGAAAGCAAATAGAAAATTTTGAAGTAGACGAGTTCTCTAATATTCACTTGATTGCTTTTTCTGACACTCAGTATGAACACTATTACTTGGAACACGATTCAGACAATTTGTACCGCAAATCATGGGGGGGGGGGGACTACACCCCGCAAAGCCCCGATTCGGCTCAAAATTGTGGAATTTGAATTGTAGGCATTTTAAGCTTCCTCAGCCTCTCCTACAACTATTTCATCGCATAAGAACCCCTTAAAAGCCGTATTTTTCCCCATACCAGACATTTTTAGCACCACCATTTCCTCATAAAGTCAATGTTTTATTTTTCTTTACCGGCTGTTTTCTCAAAACGCGACTTTTCTCTATACTTTTTTGAATAACTCCACAATTTTCCCCCAATCTTCATGAAATTTTCACAGAACGAAGAGAAGATGTAATACTAAAAATGTGTCTGTTGAATTTTTGATATTTGGAATAGTTTTTTTGTTGGTGGTGTCTTGAGTGTGAATTTTCACGGATTTTTTGCCAACTTGAATGATACCTCAGAAAAAAATTCTTAAATTTTAACAAATTAGTTTAGGAAAAAAAACAACAGACAAATGTTTACATCTAATGTTTGTGACACGCATGCATAAAAGCAACCAATTTCCATTAGCAGTAAGTGCGGTATTCATTACTTAATTAAGACATGTCAACAAAATCCAATATGGCCACTGTATCCATTGAAATGAAACTTTTTTTTCTAATTTGATTGCAGTTTTCAAGACTCCTTACTATGCTTGTTCTATGTGTGAAATGTTGTAACAATAAGCGAGATCGCCTTCAGGTGTAGCACCCCCCCCCCTTTTTTTTTAAAGACACATTTATTTAAATTGCTTTAGCATCATGTGGTTACAGACACATCAATAATTATGCTGGCAGGGTAATTTTAGCCACGTTTTTATCTCCTTTGGCTCCTTATTTTTCTTTCTTCCTGATTTTTACTACCTTTTGGTTGAGAGAGAGAGAGAGAGAGAGAGAGAGAGAGAGAGAGAGAGAGAGGGGGAGGAGAGAGGGAGAAGGAGAGAGAGAGGGAGGAGGAGAGGGCGACAGACAGAAAGAGAGAGAGACAGGGGGAGACAGACCGTCAGACAGACAGACAGACAGACAGACAGACAGACAGACAGACAGACAGACAGACAGACAGAAATAAGAATGGGAATGAGAAAGGGGGTGGGGGGTGCAGGGTAGAGTGGTGGAGGGAGAAGGAGGTAAAAAGTTCAGAATGAAGGAAAGAGGTACAGAGAGAAACGAAGAGAGCTGGGAAAAGGAGAAATAAAGAGTGAGAAAAAAAGAGAGAAAAAAAGAAAGAGATAAAAGCAGAGAGATTGAAGGTGGAAGGTGGTTGACAGAAGAGATGGAGGAGTATAAAAGAGAGGAGGGGGACGTCTGCAAATGATGACACTGTGTTAAGCCACAGGTACATTATAAGAGATTCTTGATGCATGGTTTAAAATAATGTTTCTCAAATCGTATCACACGCCTGGGCACATAAGAAGAAAAAAACACCCCCTCTAAGAAAAAAATAATGACAACAAAAATCAAATGCAAGCAACAACAAAAAACTTAACAAAAATAGAGGAAAAGAGATGGAATAAGGTGAAAAGATAGATATTACCCCCCCACACACACACACACACACACACCCACACACACAAA